CTCCCCTAGTTTGGTTTTTTTCTAAAGTGACTTAATGTTATGAGGTGGATTGATTCAGTGACTGGGGTAATCGGGATGGGTGTGTCAGAGGCAATGCGACTGGCACAGGATAGAGCAGGGTTTAGGGCTGTTGTACATAGGGTCGCTATGAGTCGTAAACGACTCAATGGCACATAACAACAACATAAAATTCACTCTTTATTTTAAAGCATACAATTCCATTGTTTTTAGTATATTTAATAATATTATGCAATCATTACCACTCTAACTAGAGAACATTCTCATTACCCCAAAAAGAAATCTCATCACTTAATAGGGATTAAGAGCTCTAACAAAAGCTAATAGGGAATCTCAGAGACAAGCTACATATAAACAAGTATAATTTGCATTCAGTTGTTGAAATGGTACTGACTGATCTTGGATCTACTTTTGCCTTCTTTGCAAGGAAGGATGCTTATCAATGAAGTCCTCTGTGTTTAAGAATAAATAGTTCCAATATTTTTTTTTTGGCACCATCATTTATATTCTGAAAAGACTCTTCTATATTGAAGATTTTAAAATATTTTTAATTGCAAATGCTCTTAGCTCACAATATAGTTACACCTACTTATGGAAGTTTGGCATGCCATTTTAAAACGATCAAATGAAATTTTAAAAATGTTATTTACTTTGTTGTTGTTGAGTATACACACAGAAAAATGTACATCAGTAGTTTCCACATGTTGTTCAATCATTTTCACCTTCTTTTTCTGAGTTGTTCCTCTCTCATTAACATAAACTCATACTGACTCACTCACTGCCATCAATCAAGTCAGTTTCAACTTTTAGCAACCTTCCATCAGGTTTCCCAGTGAAAGAAGGAGACTGCCCCATTTTTCTCCCATAGAACCGCTGGTGAATTTCAACTGTGGGAGACACACAGCCTTTGGGTTAGCAACACAAGTTGCTATAGATTTGTTGCTGCTGTTGTGCATAACTGAGTAAGAGTCAACCCATAGCTGACCCTCTAGCAGTGTAGTATTAGCCTAAAGTTAGGGGGTTTTTAGCCATTACCTTAGGCCTCTTTGGTGTCCAGCTACCTTAACTGCAGACACATGGTTTTAAAAGTCATCAACAACTGTGAGACTAGGATAAAAGAGGCAGTGCTGGGTGGCAAGACTTGAGAGAGACTGAAGACCCTGATGAGAGTAAGTTCCTGGTGATGAAACTGGTGATGGTGGTGGAGAGATTGTGGCATTGGTATGGAAAAACTGTGGCAAGGTGTATCCAGAGGAGCCCTGAGATAAAGTTCATAATTAAAAGTAGTTGCTGTTCTTAACAGATATTTGAAGGAGAAGCTGACTTATAACTACTTTGAGGTAAATCTTGCTGGGGGATTTGGATTTAACTGCCAAACAGAAACCAGGACTTTTACTACTTAACTAATAATATTTTGCTATTTTTTTTCTTTTTTGGTTGTTTTTTTTTATTAATTTTAATGAAAGTTTACAGACTTTGGATTTCCATTCATTCATTGTTGAACTTTTCTCTCTACCAAATCTCCTTACCCCAGTTTGCTCTTTTCTGTGAAAAGTAAAAGAAAAATTCTTTCTTGTTTACAATCCCTCCCCCACCCCAAGTCCACCCCACTATGTAGCTTTTGTTCTGGACTCTTGTCATGACAATAATACCTAATCATATATCCCCTTTAAGCAGTTCTCTCCCTCATCTGTTTCAATGCAGTAAACATAATTTATGCCATCTTTATCAGTCTCCCCGTAAACCCAATGTTAGTCCCATTTTATAACAGTGGCACTATACAATATTTGTTCTTTGTGACTGAGATATTTCACTCAGCATAATGTCCTCTATGGTCACCGTTTTGTATAATATTTCATGAATTCCTGTTTTTCAATGCAGCGTAGTCCATTGTTTGAATATATCAGAGATTTTCTATCCATTCATTTGTTGATGGGCATCTAGGTTGTTTCCAACTCTTTATTACTGTGAACAAAGCTGGAGTTAACATGGGTGTGCATATATCTGCTTGGGTGGCAGTTACGGTTTCTTTGGGGTATATTCCCAGTAGTGCAGTTCCTGGGTCAAATGGTATTTCTATTTGCAACTTTTTTTTAGAAAGTGCCATAGTGCCTTCCATAGTGATTGCAGCATTTTACACTCCCACCAACAGTGAATAAGGGTTCCAGTTTCTCTGCAACCTCCCCAGCATTTGATTTTTGCCCTTCTGTTAAATTTTGCTATTCTTACTGAGGTGAGATGATATCTCATAGTTGTTTTGATTTGCGTCTCTCTTAGAACTAGTGACTTTGAACATTTCTTCATGTGTGTGTTTGCCATCTGAATGTCTTCTTTGGTGAAGTGTCTATTCATATCTTGTACCCATTTTTTACTTGGGTTGTTTACCTTTATCTTGTTATGCTCAAGTATTTTATAAATTCCAGATATAAATCCCTTATCTGACATGTCATTACCAAATATTTTT